GTCCTTCTTTCATCTGAGGAACATTGCAAAAATTAGAAATATCCTGTCCAGGGGTGATGCTGAGAAACTAGTCCATGCATTCGTTACTTCAAGGCTGGACTATTGTAATTCTTTACTATCAGGAAGTCCACAAACTGTAGTTAAAAGCCTTCAGCTGATCAAAAATGCTGCAGCCAGAGTTCTAATGAAAATTAAAAAGAGAGATCATATCTCGCCTATCCTGGCTTCTCTTCATTGGCTTCCTGTTAAATCAAGAATAGAATTTAAAATCCTCCTTCTCACATATAAAGCCTTAAATGGCCAAGCTCCATCTTATATCAGAGATCTGATTGTTCCTTATGTTCCTAACAGAGCACTTCGCTCTCAATCTGCAGGTTTACTAGTGGTTCCTAGAATTTCTAAAAGTAGAATGGGAGGCAGATCTTTTAGTTATCAGGCTCCTCTCCTGTGGAACCAACTACCAGTTTTAGTCCGTGAGGCAGACACCCTGTCTACTTTTAAGGCTAGACTTAAAACTTTCCTTTTTGATAAAGCTTATAGTTAGAGTGGCTCAGGTTATCCTGAGCTATCTCTATAGTTATGCTGCTATAGGCTTAGACTGCTGGAGGACATAGGGACCCCCATTTCATCATTCTGCGTCATTGTCTCTCTGTTCTCCTATTCTGCAGAATCTGTTAGTTCAATCTCTAACCTTCTGCTCTCTCTGCTTTTCCTCAGAGTAGCTTTGCCTCGTCTGTTCCTGTTTGGCTGTGACGTCATCCTGGAAAGAAACATCAGCTGTGCTGCTGCCATCAACACCCTTGTTTATAGATGTTGGAGATCGGCCTGTTTTCCAGTGTAGTCCTGTTTCTCTGACCGTGACTGAGTGGATGTGCTCTCTTCGTCCTCTGGCATGGGAGCTGCCTTGGAGCTTGTCTGCCTGGCTGTGTGTTTCCTGGACGGGGCCGCCTTTTACAGCTGCTTTTTGTATCTCTGCTTCTGTCTCCTTGAACCCCAGTCGGCCTCGGCAGATGGCCGCTCACACTGAGCCTGGTTCTGCTGGAGGTTTCTTCCTGTTAAAAGGGAGTTTTTCCTCTCCACTGTCGCTACAAGCATGCTTAGTGTGAGGGATTGTATTGAGTCAATGAGTCAATGCAATCAACTGGTTTTCCTTAGATAGAAAACTTTGTATCGATTTGACTGTATGATCTGGTTGAACTGTAAAGTGCCTTGAGATGACATGTGTTGTGAATTTGGCGCTATATAAATAAACTGAATTGAAATTGAATTGAATCCGACCTGAACGTCATTAATACCCGACAAAAGTCGCTATCCGGCGTCTTGCTATGCAGAAGCGGCAAGAAAAACAACAACCATGGCAGATGATGATGCGGAGAGCAGAATTTATGTTTAAACATATTGAAAAGACTGAGTTTTTATGGTTGGAAAAGACCGCTAGATGCGCGCCGGCACTACACTTCCGTAAACATGGAGCACGCTGGCTTGTGACGTCATCGCATCCTCTACTGCGCATGCGGGACACTTGCGTTGTATGACTGCAGTTGACACAGTAGATCACATAGAAGTTGCATATATTTGGAAATGTGAACAGCAACGCAACAAAAAAAAATCGGATTTAACAAAAAAAATCGGAATTGAGCATCAAGGCCTGCAGTTTGAACGTAGCCTAAAACCTTCATGATGTCAGATCTCAGTCCAACAATTCTATAGTTATTGAGGACTGTTAGCTGAGATGGAGCAGTGTACACTGGAAAAACAATCTAGAAATAAGTAAAATGTTCTTAAATTAAGTGTATTTACCCTCAAAATAAGATAATTAGATAATATGCATTGGAAATAAGACAATGCAATCGTGTTTTGGAAAGTGTAAATTGTCTTGTTCCATTGGCAAAATGTCTCCTTTACCTCCTCAATCCAAAAACAAATACACTTATTTTAAGAAACAATGACTTATCTAGACTCTGATTTTTTCCAGTGTAGGAGGACTTCCACAATACTAGAACCATCTCCTGGGTCCGGCTCCAGTAGAAAAGCTGCTGTAGAATCCTACAGAGGTTTATAGTTAGTCACACAATCAGTCACTGCATTGACTTCCACTCTATATGGCTAAGACTGTCAGTCTGTACGCTCAAAACAACTTTACAGGGCTTCTTCAGCATCCTTTGACAATTATTATTATGGATTTTGTTAAGAGTAATGGTTAGACTAATTAACTTTTTTGATCAGTTGCTTTAAATGTTTGTGACTTTTTTTTGTTATCTAGATAATTTATTATTAGAGCTAACATTATTATAACGTCCAAAATGGAAAATCTACGGCAAGAACCCTTTCATTCTCAGAGCATTGAAGACCATAGGCAAAGTACTTTGGAAAAAAGAAATAGATCTGCAAATGGAGAATCTAAACTTCACTTAGAATCCCTTCAAACGTTGCAGTTCTAGCATTCGGAAATTTGGTATTAGCTTTTTTAAGCATAGCAATACAAACTTTACGACTCTCTGTAGCTATGTCTTTAATTGTGTTTTAAATAATTTGTCTGTAATTAACTGTTTTTTTTTAAAGTGCCTTGAAATAAGGTGTTGTAAATTGCTTCTTTATAAATAAACTGAATTGAAGAAAAATGTCACTAAGGGTTTAAACACTATTATAGCGTTACTGTTAACCTCTTGTCTGATTTGCTTACTACATTTGATTTCATTTGATTTCATTTTGATTTCATTTACAAACCACAAAGTCATTTGTAAATGAAGTTTAAATTAAACCTAGCTTTTAGAGTTGAACTTTAAACCGTACGATCGACGTTGGACCATACTGGAACGTGCACTCATGTTTTTGTTTTCAATTGAAATGATGAAAATTATAAATTTAACTTAATTGATCTCACAAAGGAGAAATTAACTCTGCATTTAATCCATCTCCTTGGGGAGCAGTGGGCTGCCACTGTGCAGCTCACTGCTGCACACAATAGTGTCCTTTATAAGAGGAGGTGGAGCCCAAAAGCCTCATCTGTATAGATCAAAGACACCTATTTTGATATGCCCTATGCCTGAAACCTCAGGATTCCAAGCCCTATGCCCTAAACACTAGGCTGCCACCCCCAGAAAACAAGGAGAGAGCCCGTATGCACGTATCAAAAACTATGCAGTAGAGATTCCGTTAATTGGGCAATTGGCAAAGGTCAGCACAGCCGGGGTGCTACAGCCGAGCCTCTCTCTGGGTGAACCATGAGCAAAGTATCGCCTCTGCCAGGTAAGCATTTGTTAGGTTTATTCTTTATACATCATGTGCATTGTTGGTTTGTTAGCCAGATTAGACAGAGTAGAAGGCTTTCCTTCACATGGTGGATGTCACTGTGTGTACGGAGGTCATCTGATCAGGACAGCCTTCATGTCTTTAAAAATACACAGGATATGGGCGCATCTTGGAGCCGGACTGATAAAGGAGAGCTATGTGTAATCCTGGGGTAAAGAGGTAAGATGCATAAAGGTCAAGGCATGGATGGCGTGTCAGTTGCTGATACGGACAGCTAAGCATCCACCTGATGCAAAACACGGATTCATGAGGTATAAGAAGGAGGAGATGACCTTGTCCGGGGCTTAATCTTTGCCGGACGCTCGCTGACGTTTTTGAGCCCACAGCTGTGCCGACTCCAAGCAATTTCTCTGTCCTGTAACGACCTGACCTGGAATAAATGCTGTTATTTTTTTACTCCTGTTTTAGTCCTTTTTTATATGGTTTTACCCAGTTTGAGTTAAGAGTAGTAAATAACTTCCCAGGAAAAAAACCTGAAGGGAAGTTCCTAGGCGCAACCGCCTTCAGAGGGACCTAACTTCCATATTTAACAAATTCCTAGACAAAATTTTCCTCCGAGATTAAAGTTTCCTCCTAAATCAAGGTCGCTACAAGAGATGGCAAAAGTACTCAATTTCTGTACTTGAGTAAAAGTACAGATACTTGTGTTTAAAAATACTCTGGTAAAAGTGGAAGTACTGATTAAACTTCTTTACTCAAGTAAAAGTAACAAAGTACAGGCTTGTAAATTTACTTAAAGTATAAAAGTAAAAGTAGAAACCACTTTTTTCATGCCGTTGCCTACATTTTAAATGGATGTCTGCCAATAGAACTAGATCTCCGTTGTGTTCATTTTCAATCATCTTGTCGTCCATACTACTATGCTAACGCCACCGCCACCAAGCTGCAATGATTTGCCGCGAATGAATACCGCCGAATCTGTCGATTCATCTTGTAGTGGTGCGTCAAATGCAACGTAGATTCCCATCCAATTAGATTGAATTTGGTATTGATGACGTGAAAAATAATAACGGTAACTATATTGAAATTAGTGTTGCGCCGATGCCATTTTTTGGCCCCGATACCGATACCCGATACCTGGCTGTGCAGTATCGGCCGATACCGATACCATAATAATGTAAAATAATTGCCATCATGGCTTTGTCGAGCTGCTGCCTACCTTTGTGAAGCAGGAAAAAATCTAATACAAATTGAATCCAGTAGAACTTTTTATTGCCTACCAGGAGTGGGTGACAAAAGTTGAATAAACATATGGCTCTCAAAATGGTATCGGTGCCCTATTTGTTGGTACTCGCCGATACCGATACCACCATTTTAGGGCAGTATCGGGGCCCCGTCCGATACTGGTATCGGTATCGGTGCAACACTAATTGAAATGATTAAAAACTAAAGTAATGAGCCAATTCTTTTAAATGTAAGGAGTAGAAAGTACAGATATTTGTGTAAAAATGTAAGGAGTAGAAGTAAAAAGTCACCATAAAAATAAGTAGTAAAGTAAAGTAAAAATATCAGAAAAATCTACTTGAGTACAGTAACGAAGTATTTGTACTTCGTTACTTCCCATCTCTGGTCGCTACCTAACCCCATCATCTCGCCATAACAGTCTGCAACGGATTACTACATCTTTACAGCCAATATGGTTAAATCCACTTTTTAAGTTTAGCTATATGGACCAAGGAATCTCTTACCACTCCAGGGAGTTTTATCTCTGCGATGAGGTACTCTGGGGTTCCAGTGGGAGGTTCCACAAACAGTGAGAATTCTGGTCTAAGCACAGAACAAATTCACATTACCAAGCAGGATTTTTATTTTTTATTTTAACTTGCTATAAAAGGCAAAGAGGGAGAGCTGTTTTACCTTTTAGCACATGCTGTAGAGTCTTTCCTGGGGAATAGAGTTGCAGAGTAAGCTGTTAACTCACAAAACTCAAAATCAAACAATTTATCACGCATTTAAGGAATATCATAAACCTACAAATGTTAAATTTTTTGTGTAAAAGTGAAGATTTGCTTATTAAGTAAATACAAAAATCCTTATAATTGTTTGTTGTACATTCAATAGGTGAGTGTGGTAAAGCAAAGATTACTGAGCAAATGTTACAAGGTGCAAACTGGTTTGGCCAATTAAAATGAGTAGATTATGTGTTCTATTAACAGTTTGAGAGTGGCTGTAAAAGAAAGAAGAGGTTCTAAGCCATAAAGGTGGACTTCATAATGATCACTATAAAAAAGACAATGAAAATACTACATAATACTTGAAGTGGGTAGCAAAAAAAATATGAAAATATTTAAAGTTGAAATTAAATCTATAATACAGTAAAACAAGGTTATCTGCTGATTGACAGAACTCAGAACGTCAGGATTTCAAGCTCTATCCTCTACCCACTAGGCCGCAAACTCTCCTCTAAATTCAGCAGAATTGGTTGAGTTTTAAAGTGTTTTCATTAATCAGATTCACTTATGTGGAGTTAACTTCATAGGAAGAAAAAACATGAATAAGTTTAGGATTCAGAAAGACACTAGTGAGTCTGTGTGGAAAAATGTAGCCACAGGAAACAGCCAATCTAGGCAGGAAATATGTTGCCAACAGAAAAAGCAGCACTTGTGGCTGTGAGGTTAGTTTAAAAAGACATTCTCTGTATCAGCAGGAGTCCACGTCAGTGGCGGCTGGTTGAGTTTTCTCCAGGGGGGGGCTATAAATTCAAAATAAAGCAGTAAAATGTATACCAATTTATCAGACCAGCATATTTATATGAATGCCAACAATAAAAAACATAAAAAAAAAAACATAATTTATGTACAAGTTTACTTTTTATACATAAATCCTTCTGAGTCTTTGTGAAGGTAAATCTGTGTATTTCATGGTCTAATATTCTGTCACAAATCTAAAAAAATTATGGATCAGTTTAATAACGGAGAAGCTGTAAGCCAGCTATAAGACATACTGTGGCAACAGTTCTTGGATCACCGGCCTGCTCTTTGTCCGGATGTTCTGCTCACTGAGAGATCCAAGAAATTTCCTGTTTTTTAGAACTTTCCAGTCTGGGAAAATAAATCAGAACCGAAAATCTCAGAGATCCATCACTGTAATCAAACCCCGACTGGGAAGACAAACAAAAGCACAAACTCACCTCTGTTGAGTTCTAGACTGTACTTATTTTCCAATCCCTCCGCACAAACCAGGATAACAAACTGCTGGAACAAAGGATCCTTCTGCAAGACACCAACATATGCATTTGAGTTTTAAAAACGGAGGTTGCAAAAAAAGGTAATAAGCACATTTTAAATATTTTAAATGGCCAAGAATGCAAAATGTTAAATGTGCAATGTGACACGTCACCTGACACTTCTGGAAGAAGTTGTGGTTGACAACGACATCATAAGCTGTGCATCCCTGAGAGTCTGTAATGTAACAGAGAGAACAGATGTTAAATAGTCTAAGAAGATGAAAAGGGAAACAAAGTGAAGATAGAAGTAAACACAGATGTTCTGGTAGAAGTTTTTCAGGCTTCCCTCTGAGCTGGTTCAAAATGCTCAAGCAGGACTTTTACCTCAATTCAATTCCATTAAATTCAGTTTAAATACACTACCGTTCAAAAGTTTGGGGTCACATTGAAATGTCCTTATTTTTGAAGGAAAAGCACTGTACTTTTCAATGAAGATTAGGGATGGGGATCGTTAATATTTATTGATATCGATTCCTTTATCGATACTCCTTATCGATTCGAGTCTTTATCGATACCACTATCGATACTTTTCTGTTATTTGGTGGAAAGACGATGCGACAATATGTTTTTAACAGACAGAAAGGAAGTGGGAAATTTTTTTTTTGAAGAAATGCCCAATATTTTGAAGAAATTTCTTCTTTTGGTTTAAAAAAATATATAAATTTTCACAATTGTTTGTTAATGTATTGTCTACTGTCACTTTTCATCATGTTTTTAGTGATTAGGAAAATATTTAGCAAATAAATAATTGTATTTTAAATTAAATGTAATTTTTAATAAATGTTGGCATCAGTAGTTTAATTATATATTCTAAAATAATTAGAGCAATATACAACTGTATTACTTATGTTTCTCGCCAAAAACTCAATTTCCCCTTTCTTTACGTTACACTTGAACGCATCATGATAACCTAATTGTCGTTTTACTGAGCCAATCTGAACACATCATCACGCAGCACGTCTGAAACTTTATTTACTTTTCAAGCTAACTAGCTCGTATGCTGCCGATTACAACACGGATTTCACAATTACTATTTTTAACTGACCGGACAAGCTACAAAGTCTGTGTGCGCGCTTACCAGTGCTACTCTGGGTGGATGATGAAGACGGGCCTGACTGTGGTGCGGCGGCAGCAGCAGCAGCAGGAAGAGGAGTCTTTTCAACCCGGAGACAGTCGAAGGTACTGCATTTGGCTTTTATTTGATGCACAATACTAATGTGCTTGGCCATTGAGGTTGTTTTCCCCCCTTTAAAAGTGATGATTTTGCAACATAAGTTGCATTTCGCTTTTCCGGAGGAAAAAAAAAACGACCAGACTCGATAGTGGTATCGATAAGCCCAAACGTTATTGATTTTCGGGTTTTGAAAAAAGTGGAACCGGGTCCTTGATAGAACCGGGTTTCGATCCCCATCCCTAATGAAGATAACTTTAAACTAGTCTTAACTTTAAAGAAATACACTCTATACATTGCTAATGTGGTAAATGACTATTCTAGCTCCAAATGTCTGGTTTTTGGTGCAATATCTACATAGGTGTATAGAGGCCCATTTCCAGCAACTACCACTCCAGTGTTCTAATGGTACAGTGTGTTTGCTCATTGGCTCAGAAGGCTAACTGATGGTTAGAAAACCCTTGTGCAATCATGTTCACACATCTGAAAACAGTTTAGCTCGCTACAGAAGCTACAAAACTGACATTCCTTTGAGCAGATTGAGTTTCAGGAGCATCACATTTGTGGGGTCAATTAAACACTCAAAATGGCCAGAAAAACAGAACTTTCATCTGAAACTCGACAGTCTATTCTTGTTCTTAGAAATGAAGGCTATTCCATGTGAGAAATTGCTAAGAAATTGAAGATTTCCAACAACGGTGTGTACTACTCCCTTCAGAGGACAGCACAAACAGGCTCTAACCAGAGTAGAAAAAGAAGTGAGAGGCCGCATTGCACAACTGAGCAAGAAGATAAGTACATTAGAGTCTCAAGTTTGAGAAAAAGACACCTCACAGGTCCTTAACTGGCATCTTCATTACGGTGTGTACTACTCCCTTCAGAGAACAGCACAAACAGGCTCTAACCAGAGTAGAAAAAGAAGTGGGAGGCCGCGTTGCACAACTGAGCAAGAAGATAAGTACATTAGAGTCTCAAGTTTGAGAAACAGACGCCTCACAGGTCATTAACTGGCATCTTCATTAAATGGTACCCACAGTAGCCTGTTTGTGCTGTACAGTGCTTTTCCTTAAAAAATAAGGACATTTAAATGTGACCCCAAACTTTTGAACGGCAGTGTATATAGCGCCAATTCACAACACAAGTCATCTCAAGGCACCTTACAGTTCAACCAGATCATGCAGTCAAATACTGTCAAATACCTCAAAAAGATAAACAAGATACATCACTTCATTGGCCTCCAGTTCTGTTTTGAATCCATTTCTTTGTCTTTGAACTGTCATATCCCTTATTATTTGTCGTAACTGTCGCAATCATGTGCTCTTAGATGGTCTGATTATGATTTTAGTGGACTCAAACACCTTTAACAAATCCTAAATCAGGAAATGAGCTGCTGCTTAAGGTCAGGCAGGCTTTATCTCTTTGTTATTTTGTTTTTTTTTTAACTCTAGGTTTTCACTCAGAGCGTTTAACATCAGCCTCTTAATGTTCCACTTTATTTCTTGTATTTGTGACGTTTGGATTTCTGTTTTCATGTATTTTTTTTTCATTGTTTTGTTGTTGATCTCTGGTCTTTTCTTCATATTTGTATAGCACTTCAATCAGCTGCTCTGCTGTTTTTAAGGTGCTTTAGAGAAAAAAAAAAGTGTTCTATAGACCTAGTGCCCATGATAGATACGTAGGAATAAAAATCCTTGTGGATTGACTTTAAATAGAACATATTTTCTGCTGGATCAGTTTTTTACTGGCTCAGTTAGGGGATGTGTGAATGTTGGTCGTTTCTTGTGGGCAGATTACAAAGGTATTAAGACTTGTTAAGGCTGTTTCACAGCAAGATTTAAAAGCTCTAGGGTGATTTTCCTTACTTAAGAGATCGAGCAGAAGGTGTTATAAATCAGGGATAGAGAATTGCGTTCTCTGCAGAGACAGCCCAGGGGCAGCATGTCACACACAAGCCTATTTTGATGTTTTTGATGTGCGCGGAGAAAAAAAACGTACAATATGTATTCCAAAAAAGTAAAAAAAAACAATCCACTTGACTTTGTTTCCAAGTTTGAAGACATTTCGCTCCACATCCAGGAAGCTTTTTTCATTCAATTGAGTTTGACAATTGAGTTTGAGGCTTTATATAGTAGCCCAACAAAGCCTTGTTTTTGAAAAAATGCAATTGAATCGGAAAAAAGGGTCCATCCGTTTGGAATGGGGGTCATTTAGCTTCTTTGTTAGCCTGCAATGCCCCATACTGTCTATGTGTCTGAAAAGGGGGTTGTTAAAGGGAATTATTAGCCTGGCTGAATAGGCGAGGTCTTCTGTTCCCTTGTAGAGGGGTTGGGGTTGCGATGATAGCGGGAAGGGATCAACTCAATCGCTGCATTGTAGGTTTTTAAAAGCTGAAATCTGGGTTCCCCCCTCTCTGTTTAAGGTTGGTTTTTCTTTCTTAACATTGATGGCTTCCTTCACGGCACTCTCAAACCTCCTATTTTCTTTGTCCAAAATGTGAATATTCTGGTCCTAAATAGAAGGTCCTTGTGTAAAACAGAAGATGCAATAAAAATAGTGGCCTTTTTTAATGCCTTTGTGGGAAAAAGTAGCTTTAAAGAGTTTCTAAGTATAAAAGTGCATCTAAAAGCAGAGACCTTCATATAGCAGTGGGCGGTCACACTGAAAGCCTCCCAAGGTCATCCAGAAACTCGTGGATTTCCCGCTGCCGTTCGTAGCCGGTAGAGTGAATATTTACCTCTTCTTTTTTTTTTTAGGTGGTGAAAACTGCAAGTTTCACACTATAAGTGCTGACATTCTAAGTTAATGTTTGTATGGATAATAAATAAATTTTCCACCACAATCAAATAAGAAAATATTATGGTGCAGTTATCTAAGCACTCTCACTTTTCAGCAAAGAAATAAACCTCCTGGCCATTTATGTAAAACGAGTGCGCTGTAACCTTTCTATATACATTCATGCTTATATTTCATTTTTCATGCAGGATAGATCAGGGCTGGAATGCAGCATCTACCAGCCAGCTTCTCTAATTTGTTGATGCGCAGCGTCAAGCTGCCGAAATACAGCATCTGATCTGAACAGATTTGGCACGGTGGACATACATTACAGGATATACGACAATCCATAATGATGGATTTCCACGATTTGCGATATGAGGGGTCTTAATGTTCCATAAAGCAGAGCAGATCACTCTTAAGACCTCACACACAGCATTTTTATCTCACTGATTATCAGTGGCTCCTGATACTGGCGGCTCTAGGAAGGAGAAGATCGGACTGATTACCTTCCTGTGTGAACCAGCCATTAGATTAGCCCGCCTTATTACAATCCCCTTTCAACAACCAGGACTGCTTTTTCAGGTTAACAACACTGCAAAAACAATCTAGAAATAAGTAAAAAAAAATAAAAAATCTTAAATGAAGTGTACTTGCCCTTAATTAGAGTAGAAAAATAAGATGATCTGCCAATGGAATAGTATATTTACTCTTAAAATAACATAATTAGATAGTATGCACTTGAAATAAGACATGCATGTTTTAAATTCAAACTGTCTAACTTTTTAAAGAAAAAAATCCCTTATTTTAAGAAAAAATTGACTTGTTTAGATTTCAAATTTTTGTAGTGTAGGTAGGGCTGCAACAACGAATCGATAAAATCGATAAAAATCGACTTTTAAAAGCGTTGGCAACGAATTTCATCATCGATTAGTTGTGTCGCGCGATTAATGCGTCATCCGCTGCCGCCGTCATCAATGACACTTGATTGAAACGCGGGAAGAAAAAAAAATACGGCAGAGCGAGCCAGCGCTCTAATGACCGATACCGCAAACGCAAGCTGCGTCTCAATTTGCAGACAGCCTGCGCTTTGTAAAGCGAAAAAAGACGTAACATTCAACTTTTGTAAAAACAAATTAACATGGCGCGGAAGCACCACTGTTATGATGCAGCACCTGAAAAGGAAACACGATGGAGCCTTCGATGAGAGCTGATCAGCAGGGTGAGCGACC